TATATATATATATATATATATATATATTGTGAAACTGCTCTCTCTCTCTCTCCCCCTTTTCCTATTTGTATAAACTTAACTATAGGTAACTGTTCAATGCGTAAGTTCATGCGGAACTTTTTATTGATACGCATATCACACATAAGTATAGTTTAAGTAGCCTTAAAGAAATCTTCTGAACTAGTTGTATAAATATGTCCTTCGCACAAAAGAAAATCTAATATCTCATCTAAACGAGATACAACGTGCTTAGGTATCTTTGTCAAAATAATGCGTTTCTCAATACCACACTCGCCGTCATCTGCCGATCGAACGACTTCCAGAACCATCATTTGTTCAGGTGTCATGCCACTCATTGTGTTGTCATACACCACCATATTGGGTGCAGCGGATGATTCTTCTGTAGGCTTGTTGAACATCAACATAAAATATATCACTTCCACAAAGTGGCATGTTAGTTCATTCAAATCCTCCAGAGGGTATATACGCAAAATTAATACATTCCGTTGATTATGTTGGTCACGTATCAATCCATGGACTCGTACATATGTATTAACTAATATGTCCTCCCTAGCATTCTTATCTGCTTCTAGCCACATCATAGCTGTGAGCGTACCTATTGTAACAAATCAAGCATAATTTATCATGCAATAATTATAATAGCTTAAAAATATAAAATGTGTAGGTAAAAAATATATATAAAATTATACACAATACAATCACATCAATAGGTTATATATATGTGTATATATAATTGTATACAGTTTATTGTGAGTTGTAATACAACTCAATAAATATCAACCAACAGAAACATAACCTCAATATTATAACATCTTATTCAACAATGTGAATATAATATAATAAGTATGTTATGTGATGGTTACATTGTTGAATGGAAAATTATAACATTGATGTAAAGGCTGGTTTATATTAGTAGTAACATTGTCAATAATGTGTATTTTTATAAGTGTTACTGAAAAATATAGACTGTTTCAATTAAAATAATTGGAATCGATTGTTTTCAACAAATTGCAAAACAAGTTAAACATAGCTTTCTGTTAACTTTGTTACTTTGCAATGAAAAATGTTTATAACAATTATTTTTAATATTTTATAAAAAAATTTATTAACAAAAGTTACTTATTTTAATAATATACTGATAACTTTGACATATTGTTAAAAAAATTTCTGCAACTTATCACACTCAGCAGTCTAGATCAAAGAATGTTAAAAACAAATATTATCAACAGAAAATTGGACTAAATTTATGTTAGCAATATTGTTAATGATAGAGATTTTAACTTAACTTGATTGGTTATACTATAGAAATTGTTAAATTTGTGTATAATATATATTTGCTGATAATAATATCATTAATGGTTTAAAGTCTTCAACTTTATGGAAAAAATTTGAGAATTGAGAATATCACTTTTGCTAATAATATTGCTGTTATCATTTTAATCATGATAGTTTTTCCAATTATGACGGTGACATTTGTGTTTTTCACATTGTTAAAAACATATTTTGTTAGGACATTCAGTAAGTCCTTTTCTGAAAAAGATAATTGCTAAAAATATTTTGGTTATTAGTATTGTTATCACTACTTTTTTTATGTAAATCAATCTTCAGTTGCTGTTTACTGAAAATTATATATAAAATGATAACAATATTATAATAATACAATTGTATATAAAAAATATATAATTGTATATTGTATAATTATATAAAAATAATACAATTATATATGTAAAAAATATATAATTGTGTATCACACATCTTATTTTTGTGCAATGTACAAGCATAAATTTATTTAACCTTTACGCTGCATTTTTTCATTAAAAGTTTTTTTTCTCAAAAATTTTTTCATATAAGTAACACACACATGGTGCAGAATTTTGAGATTTGTGCAGAATCACAAAAGTGGCTTTCCCGGCAATCTAAAGGTTAAGAAACAATATATCAATTCATCAAGGCTTCTTCTAATTTTCTCTTTCTCTCTCTCTCCCTTTGGTTGCAGGCCTGACTCAGTAGCCTTTTCACCATAAAAATTTAAGTTGAGTACAGTAAGGGAAGAAAAGGCCGAAGTTATAAGTTAAGCACTTCTAATTTTCTTACAATGAAATCGAAGTGATTAACACGAACCTGTATCATCCTGGATGTGATAAGAAATCTTCGTAGTTTCCTGCTCAATGTGACGCACAATTCCGACGAAAGTCAAGGTGTTCACGGTTTTACCAGCGATCTGCAGATCACCCGTTGCCGAAATAATATGCTTTATCAGCACCGGAACGATACTCCGATCGTTGCTCTGCGCACCTTTTTTCCCGCCACCGGCCTGCGTGCCGCTTGTACTTTCGTCCAAGAATCCACCTCCGAGACCAACGTTGCTTCCATCCCACATGTTTGCAAATTATGCGGCTTTCTGATGATCACCGGAAGGTTAGGCAACAGTTTCCCGAAAAGTGGAGAGGATAATGTTGATATCAAGGAAAATCTCTATACGATATAATTTAAAGATATGTTCTTTGTAACTACATTGCTGAACTGGTGCAATAAATTGAAGTGAGACAAGTATATGTTTTCTCACTCTAACCTTTTGCATTAATTCAGCAGTGCAGTTACAAAGAACAGATCTTTAAATTATATCGTGTAGAGATTTTCCTTGGTACTAACATTATCCCCTCCACTTTTCGGGAAACTGTCGCCTAATCTCACCGAAATACGGCTAAAGACAACCCACGAGAAAGTCTTGGAATTCGATTCTTTGGTCGATAACTCAGACAACGCGACACAGTCGAGACAATGCTTTCGTGTTAAACAAGATTCGGCAGGTTGCAGTTAGATCAGGTTAGGTCGGGTGAAGTTAGGTTAGGTCAGAGTTAAAAGCATAAACTTATAATCGCGCCACTTTTATTTGCTCGTGACATCGTATTTCATTTATATGTCAAAATTACTCACGTCATTCAGTAGCTCAATTTAGAAAACGATAAGACCGCGTTGAGAAAAAAAGAGGAAATAATAACGTAGTACGTATGACGTTAGATGTGTAACCGCGTTACTCTCTGTCGCTTCTGCCGGAATTTGTGAACACAGCTTAACGATCGTGGAATGAGCAGAAAAATACGAAGGACTTCTTATGACATATTTATACACAAGCGTGTAATGCTAAATTCAGGTATCGACGCTCTTGATACCCGAAATTCGAAAAACCAGGTCACACGCTTGCTTAACGCGAAGATCCATTTAAATTTAGCGGGAAGGACACCATACTGATTCGTTCGGCCACGAAAGGCGCTTATTTCAATATCCTCGTTGATGATACGGCAGATTGTCCGCCTTGCATCCCAGGAGTCGAAGGAAGTCGGCGGATCGTCTGGATCCCTGGTTTGTTGATTTTAAGTTACCATAAAAAGTATCATGGCGTCTAGGAGCCATGTGGACAACACAGTGAACGAACGGCGTTTGCGGCCGATTTACGGTACGTATAGCTCCGTCGACGGCGACCGGGGCTGTAATGCGTCACGTCCATCTGCATCGGGCCGTACGAGTCGTATCCGGCAGACCGGCAACTAGGTTATGTAACGGCAGTCAGTGAAGCTTCTCTGATTTTCAGACTGGTTGGACAATGGGAACAATAAGAAAGCCCTCCAAGAGGCAGATAAGGTGCTTAGAAAGCAACCAGGTAATCAGTGTGCCAGGGTGCTCAAAGCCTTGGCCTTGCTGCGACTGGGCAAGCAGGATGAGTGCCAAGTTATTATGGATAAAGTACGGTCTGAGGTGCCCTGTGAGGATTCTACTTTGCAGGCAATGAGTATTTGCTACAGAGAGACACTTCAGCGTAAGTTCTCAGTCAATGTCACAGTTTATTGACTGTTAATTCATGCTTCAACTTCTTCAAACTCTTTTTTGATATAAGATGTACAGATTCATATTTATGATGTTAAAATTGTATATATAGTGGTTGTGGTCTTTATGTGTAAATCATAATACTTTACATCGATGTGTAGACAATGTAAACTGTATAGGAGATATCCTTATGAACAATATATGGATGTTGTTTAAGGAAGATACGGTTTGCTCAAAAATTAAGTTTATATTTTATTCAACATTTAGAATGGTGTAAATTTTTATGATTGTTGTTTCCTAAATAAGTAAGTTAAATAAGTTAGAATTCATAGAATTCTCTGGTTTTTAAAGTTATATTCTTAAACTTACATTCTTAAAGTTAAATCTACCAATTACATATCATATAGTGAAATGAAAATTTCTTGAAATTTATTGTCTTTTTTAAACATTATATTTATTATTAATACACAAAATAGATACAGTGTGTATATATATATATATATATATATATATATATATATATATATATATAT